TTCCCTACCTACATAGGCACGCTAACAATACTAGTCCACTTTCCTCATAAGTAAATTGTTTATTCACCTGACAATGGAGATCGGGAGAGTTGTTTTTTATACCGTTGATGCTTGGCCCGCTTTTGAATTGCACTCATAGACGTTAATTGGTTGGATTTGTCTTGCAGTTTTAGGTACACTGCTTACTGACGTCTCGTTATTGTTTGGATGAGTGTTTTGTGAAACGACTAGATCAGTGTTCTCAGCCACCACGTTTTCATTGGGGATTAAAAAAACCTTTTCGCCTCGCCGTGTCTCTTCTGAAGCGAGAGAACGCCCATTGAGTGACTAACGGTCCATCGTTTGTTCTATTTAAACTGGGTAAGCCCTGATTCCGAAAGAAAATAACACCGGCGAGAGCATACATTAGCTCCGATGGACTGGATGAATGAGATGGCCTTAGAAATCCAGGACCCGTAATCCTGATGATGCTCAACCAGTCCACTTAATTTTCCTGCTGTCTTAAGATTGCAAATCGGTCATCCAAAGGCTGAAAGTGCATCATCGATCAAAAGCCGGGTGGCATGGCGATCGCCACTCGTAACATTTCTGAATGGACGACCGCACCCATATGTCGTTGTTGCACTTCTTATGCTATGCTGTCCGTGATAGGTGGTGAACCTTTGCTTGCATCAGAGGCTGTGGTGATTCAAACACCGCATGGCAAACAGTGATGTGACCCATTGATTAACTGCAGCAGGGTTTTGTGATGAGCTTCGAACAGTCAGTTCGATTGGTGAAAATGTCCTTAGATGTAAATTAGAAATCACCCCCTTCGTGAAGAAGAACGATGTTCGGGAAGCCTAGAAATCTTTGCTTTTCCTAAGGGTTTCCTCAGTCAGAAATTACCATTTACTTTCGAGATGAAAGCAGTCAATGTGCATAGTCGATACTTGAAGTGGTTTCAGAGGTTTCAATCTTTGGCTATTTCAGCGTGAAGGAAACACGATAAGCCATTTGAAATTTGTCATGATTGCGCGTTATTCGTACGTTTTCACTCCATTTACTGAGTAAACTTTGCGCTAGCGTGAACAAGTATTACTTCCTATAATTCTGCTCATCCGGGAGCGAATTGTCCCTTCTTGGTTGCATATTAACCGTATTTCCTTTCCTTATTTAATTAAAAATGGCTTGAATTACATTCCTTTAGTTGAATCGCTAGGAGAATCCATACCTTTCCTGTCAGCTGATGTAATTTATCGTGCTTGGTGTTTCGAATTTCAGTTTGCTGTCCGTTATCTGTGCCGGATGGAGGCATATCTTGTGAAAAATTACCTTTTTGTGACATACCTTCCATCGCACTTTACCGAACACATTTTACCATCTTCCTTGTTCGGCATGTTACATTGCTTTTGTCCCCAGTCGCTCCCAACAGCTATGTGAATAACTGTCCTGATATAGTTCCTACGAAGACCTCGTATCGAAATGATTTCCCGATAAAAATCCATTTTGTGCTGATGGATTGCTATCCTTACAGAAATGCAATGGTATTTGCGAGCCCCTGGTGCGCATCCTTTTGAAAAGATTTAACATTACGCGATCTTCCGGTGACTGGATTTCATCCACAAGAATGTTTAAAGCCACGTACCAACGATTCAGTTTCCATTTCCGACTCCATGGGCTCTGTCAGCAATAGGCTTTTGACTGGAGTGTTCTTTTTTTCGGCGCCAACCTTAGCTTTCAGACTTTTCTTGTCTAGGCTTGCGGTGCCTGCCAGTATCTTAGCCGTCGTCATTCTTTCGGAAGGAACTGGATCAATGCACCGGAAGGGTAGCACAGTTGAGCCACTGTTCCCTTCTTGTTGTATAGCCCGTTATGGTGTGTCATACCTGTCACTTCGTCGTGTTTCACCTTTCAGTTGACGCATACCAATTACCAGACATCACAAATGGATGCTGTACATCGGATCATTGTGCACCTTTTCACCAAGTGTGATCGTTTATCTGAAGCGATCGCATACTTATCGTCCAAGTTCCCGGCAAGTTTTTTTTCATTTCTCAGATTTTTTGCGCATCATGATGGGCTTTTCATTATTGCTGTTTATCATCAGTTGCCTTTATGCACTGTTTACAAGTGTTGTGTCTAAGATTCAACCATTCAACCACCGATCCTTGCAGGGCGGACATCCTTCTGGGCTGAAGAACTATAAAGTCGACCTGAACGACCTTCACAGAAAAGTTTTTTTTTCTTAGAATGCTGAAACACATTGCAACATGCACGGTTGAACATAGTTTCTCTTTTGAATCTAATGATGATGTAACAAATTTCGATTCACTTCCTTTCTGGATGCGTTTGTTCAAAACGATTCTATCATTTTAGTGTTTCTCTTAAATGATCTTCAAATATGTTCACCGCTGAAATATTCCGAAGCATGTATAGGCCGCAATCATCACCCTGCTTATGTCGCTCCAGTTATCTGCATGATGATGAATAGATTGCGTGGTTTCCCGTGACGAGGTCCACTATGAAATTTGGGAAAAATCGTACGCTTTCCACTACTCCTTAGCGGTCACCATGTACACTCTTAGATCTTACTGCTTTACAATTCGGCACAGTCAAGCCCGGTAAGTTGGATGAAAATGAACGATAACGCACCTGCAGTTTGACTCGTAAAGTCCATCCTGCCGGCATTGTACATGGTCAACCATCGTCCAAGCTGATCAAAGTGCAAATTTAGAGTGATTGTAAACTGCAGACTTCTCTAGATTTCCCTGTTACTAGTGTGATGAAATATTGGTAGCTTGGGAGTCCTTATTAGTTTCTGAACATGCCGCTTTTTATCCGCCTAACAACTGGTCGGCAAAGGCTTTGTCACTCCAGGGCACATTATCAATACACGGGTTAATAGGATACTCCCTCCTTATTTGCTTGCGTTTACATGATGTCTGAAAGTCTGCTAATGTAGCCGGTTAAATAAGGTGAACACGATGAATTTTTGCTCCCCTCTCGCACTAGCATAAGCGAAAACAAAGAACGTTGAAACACAGTACTGCCCCGAAACAGCCATTAACTGACATCGATGTAACAGGTAAGGGCGAAAGAACTGTAGCATTACCAAACTGAAAATCGTGCCAGAAATCAGGTGAAAAACATAGAGGAAACGACAACTCGGATTCCTCTCATAGATCAGTTCAACTGGTGTAAACAATCAAGCGGAACATGGACCAATGAATCGATGACTCAGTGGGAGAAGAAATGCAAACTGATAAACAAATAGGAGCATTCGGTTAGCGGATCAAACGCAATCAAATCCATCGCTGTAAAAAAGGGTACCAGTGTCAAACCACAACGCCACATTTCGCAGGCCGACTAAGGAATTTACGAGGAAGCTGTCCTCCACTTAGCCAATCACAAGAATCGATGTTACCACAAGCCGGTAAAGAAGAGACAGCACCCAACCGCGCACCGATGGTGTCTCGTCTACTGATAGCGCAATGTCTGCTTGGCGAACAGAGTTTCATCTACCTGATCAACAACCAAGCTTCCCCTGTTATGGATAAGTGAATCATTCATAGGTTATAGGCGGTTCTGGTGGGTTCTCTCCCTGAGCTTGAAGTGTAACATAGAAGCCTCCATACCACTGGATCGGATTCTCGTTAATTGTTTACTTTTGAGGGTCTTTTTGTTGGGCGTAATGTGCTGTCCTCCAACCCGAGCTAAGAAGATTTACAGTATGGCGTCACTTTTCAAGCAATGCGACGTATTCTAAGCACTCGAAATTCTCAGTAATTTATGCCTGTATATGTGACGTCGAGCATGAATGTGCCACTCGCGTGATATTGTAATTTACTTGGACCAACTGAGAGATTTGAAATGCTCGGTGTTGAGCTTTCTACCTGCGTGGCAGAGTATAGTCGATGGATAGAGAAAACATCGCGTTGACAGGTTATTTTACTGTCGGTGTTACTCCATGTTTTGTTGTTTCAGACCGCTCCTGTTCCTCAGGATCCTGCAAGCCCCTCTGTGGTGTCCATCCCATTACATCCGGATCCGGTTTCTAGTAGATACTGGCCAGATACAATCTTACGTCTACACCAGCTTATTCCTGATCAGTGGGTAACAGAGGTATCAAGCGATACTCCAGGAATGTCAAAAACTACATCAGAAACAGGAGAAGTGCGCAGCAATCCAAAGTTACCTGTGCTTTATGGGCATATGTTGCTACGGTTGCTCCCGATCCTCGAGGCTGTTCTAGCTCATTTTATGGAAACCAATCTTCCTCTAGTACAGCTCATCCCGTTTTGTCATGCTATATCTCCGTTGTTCCGTTTTCACCGTGAGTGACCCTCGTTTCTTCCCATGTGTACTTTACTTGTTTTCTGAATTCAGCAGTAGTTTTCTAGGATATAAGGTATTTTTCGTGTGCATTCGATGAGTGGTCTCTGCTTAAGCGACCGGAAGTATCCTTAGGTTGTGTAGGGTGCCCTCATTAAGCCTAGGATGAGGTGATTGGAACACGCGGTCTTGTGTTCTTGGATATGTGTTGTGCATTACCGACTCATTATTTGCCAATAAGATCGTTTTCCACCGTTTACTGGGAGTTTAAGGTTACTACAAAGTGCCCACCTTAAGCGTCAATGCCGCTTACCTCTGAATTATTGTGTCTGTTTCACTCCCTGGGTTTATCTGGAGCTGTTTTCAGTGACGCAAGCCAATATATCGATAATGTTTGGAATTTTTAAGTTTCATCTATTTTTTCCTAACGTACGAAATGAAACCCTCCTGTAATGTAGCTAGCAACGCCAACACGTCAATATTGGACAGAGTGTGGTCGTTACCCAGCATTGCAGCAACAGTGTGCGAATACTCACGGAGACTGTGTCGACTACAAGCGCCATTCGTAGTTATTGTACTTTACGTAACATTTATGTCCAACTGACTAAGATAAAAAGAACTGGGAATCATGTTTGAAAATGATCAGCGCTTTATTACTTTCGCTTGGTCGCACAAGTTGTAAAATAAAAACTCGACAATGAAGTCCTCATCATCGCAATTGAGCATGACTCATTGATCAACTGCTGAGTGGGGTCATTTGAGTGAGCATACTGGTGAGCATGAACGCTGGTGTATTCTTTTTTTACTTGTGCTTCCATGCCCTCAAAAGTCCGACCATTTGAACTTTGAATTGAGGACTTGGTCAATTTCAAACCATTTTTTGTAGTCAATCCGTTTTGTTCCTTTCAGGGAGACCACTTAACATGTGCTACGTTCTTCTCCGGGAACATTGGCATCTCACCCCTCCAGAGCTTGAAGCCTTCCTGGCACGGGACATTCCAGACGCCAACTCGATGAATGACAAACGTGTGATGTGGCTTGCGGATCGTTTGCGCGTACAGATAATTATCTATCATGTCCTAAAGGACCATCATCGGCTGAGCTGCAGCCGAACCACAAAATCACACGAGAAAACCCCTGAGAAAGAATGCACTTCTTTTACGTTGCTCAACCAGTCCTTATGGTCAGAAGTCACGTCTGGTGTGGATGCTTGTCTAAAAGCTTTCGACATTGTGCGTAATAAATACCCGGATGTTGATGGTGATCCTGCTGTTTTATACTCCGCAGAGTCCGATTTGCAATCAATTCTAGTCAGTTGGTATCGCTCCCGAAGCTTTCTGTTCGACGTATCTGCGATGGAATCACTATTGGCCCCGATCGTTCTAAGTAGGTCTCCATGCTTCTTTCCACTGACTGAATTGTCATAGATCCTTTTCTTTTTTCCAAGACCCACCCTATTAGACTTTAAACTTTCTTCCAATGCGCCAAATCGCCTCATCAAAATTTGTTCTGGGATACATTTACTAGGAGCGGTTTTGCTTTTAAGTTATCTATCCTGGGCTTCTAGCCAAACCTGCAAACTGAGCATTGCGTACTTTCTTGCCCGACGTAAAAATTGTCGGCCCAGAAACTTGTACACTTCGCCTGCTCTGTGACATAGACTGCCTCATTTAAAGTTTATGACATCTTTGCTATTTCCATGACTGATTGGTGAATAAGTCCTATCAGAATCTGTAACGAAAAGTAGCGAAAGATCCGGTCAAAACGAAGAGTGGTTGGACTTTTAAAATGGGTCGTCTTCTTTCTTGGCATTTCAAGATCCTACCAGAACCCCCTCTACCTATTTTGACTACTTACCACGTCTCAAGATCGAACTCTCTCCTGGATCTGTACGTATTTCAAATCGTTCCTTATTTTTTCTTCAAATGCATGTTTAGCAAACTTTGGCCGTCCGATGGTTACGCATATTTTCGTGAACGACTGATCCCAGAGTCTGAGCTTCTGCGATTAGGCTTAGCAGTGAAGCTAGCCAGAGTTACTTGGCACTCGAACTCACATTGATCGGATGGCCAAAGGAATTAGTCTGCAGCCTCAGCAACACCGATGGATGCATTTCGTCCCACACTATTACTGTGGGGTTTTGTTGTAATGTGACTTCCAGTGACATTTAGGCGGTGGCATGAAAAAACACCCTAATCCTGTTTGAAGCGATCAACTGTGACGCACAATGGACGTGCTTCTATATACTCCAAGGCCACTAGTTTAGAAGCCCAGGTATCCTGGTACGATGCGATCGCATACGATATTCAGTGATATAGTCAAACGGAGCAATCCACTGTCTGTCCGTTGGAACCATCGTGAGAACATGCAACTCACTTCCATGAAAGCACAATTGGTGAATGATCCCTGTAAATCTTCTGGCAAGTAGTGTGCACAACCCGAAGCGAAACCCACTCAGAATACTTTGATGATATCTCTGATGGTGGTAAAACGTTCACAATTTAATTCCTCAACTCAGCTAGCAAAATGGCCAGCTCGCTTCCAAATCTTTCGTTCTCCTTTTTTTCAAAGCACTTTTTGTTTGCTTTGCCTCTTGTCTGCGATGCTACCGTGTCAGTCGTACCCATTAGTTATTCTTTTTAACACCTAAAGCTGTTTACCATCTTTCTCACAGGCACTCAAAAGCACGGTTTATACGGTCATCCCGCCGCATGGCGCCCGTGGCACTTGGAGGAAAATGTCAGCGTACAAGCTGCTGGTCTCTATGCTGCTGCAGTTGGACTCATGTCTTCTTTCACCTCCCCATCGGAATTTGTTACTTCGTTGGCCGAATTTCTCTACCCTAAGTAGGTTCGCTCGACTGTTTTCTAATTACCCTTATTTTTCCACGTAATCTTTTTGATGTGTAAGCGTTGTGTGAAATTTTTTGTTGCTTTTAGTCCATGCTAATTCATTTATTTGTTTACTTGCTTCTGCTAATCAGGATAAACGCTATGGACTTGGGCGAACATTTGAACGTAATTGGCTCCTTGGTCACAATTCTTCCGGTAGGTTGTCAGGTAACATGTTTGTTGATGAGTGCCATTGCTTGCAATTCGGGTTCAAGTAGAAAGTAAGTCTGACAAAGACTCGGGGACTAGTCCTACCTGATGATTTCCAAGAATGGCGAAGCTATCAAAGAATTTTCAGCAAACTTAGCAGTATTGTGTTACGTCCAGACTGTTTATTGTCTTCTAACACTGTCGAAACTGTAGAACATAGTCTAGCAACCAAACTTGAGTGATCTGCAATTCGCTCAGAGGTTCGTACGTCTTCCTATCATGAGTAGCGTTGAGCCCGAATAATCTCTGTCGCTTTCTGCGTTCCACCAGGGTAACTTCAACTGTCTCTGTTTTTTTTTCGTCAGTGTATATTTGAAATGTTTAAACCCCACCCGGTGTTCATTATCCCGATGTCTACAACCTCACCTATTTACCAGTGATCAGCTTCTCCCATTGTACCGACGAGTTAGGCTGGGACAAAAAAATCACTAACAATAAAACATCGCGTTTATGAAAGAAGGCTTACCACCCGAACGAGTCGTAATTCCCACTGCATCTAACGTTATCGTTATCTTTCCAAACAGCCTAGAGGCAATTCCGAGCAATCAAATCTGGTGTAAAGTGTGTGCCAGCTTCAGAAAAGTGGTGGAATAAGTTGGAGTATCTAGTCACTAAGACCATTCCTGAGGTGCCACGATACGGCTGTTGTGAAGGTCAGGTGGGAATATCGGATAACGATGGTCAGAAAAGCCGGTGATTGCAGAGCTAAAATACGTAAGTTATCATCATGCGCTGAATCTCGGCAAGGGGTTAAATAATACTGCACCAAGAGTTTGTGATCGCAGATAGCTTTCTCGGCCGATTGCCGCCATTGTGGACATGGGAATCGCCAACGATAGCTACAACATGGAGACCGGATTGTGCTTTGTTTGTTGGTGACATTAAGTAAGCAGGAAGTTTAACCTTTCTCTATTGGGTAGTCTATATGCAAAGCGAAAGTATCTTAACTTGACGAGAAGTAATTTCGAGCCAAATCAGGTAAGCAACATTCGAGGGAGATTATCGGAGAGAAGTGAAAGAGTCTGCGGTCCGGAAACCCATCCGCAAAACGGAGACAGTGTTAATAGTAGACAGGAAATTGACTATAAGTGATATCACCCTCACCGGATATTTACGTCGCAGTGACGGATTAAGTACGTTGGGCAGAAGATGATAAGAGTCGCTTAGCTGAATTAATGTTACTGTTCAAACAACGGACATTGTTGGGTGATGCTTCGAAATTGTGTTATGTATGTTTCTATCCGTTTAGGGAATCCGAACCTATAAATTTTGTATAGAGAACTACATAAACTCGGTGGTTCGATTCCTCTGAGCGGCAGCGTGAGCTTATTCAGTAAATCTCCCATCTCTTGTTGTTCTGGGCTCACCCTATCGCCCAACATTCTTTTCGTTTTATCCGTACTAGTTAGTTCAACATATTATGGGGATTAAAAATTCCAGTTTCCGGTCTAGCTTGGTGCTGTCTCACCAGCTGACACACTAATCTGTCATCCTGCTTTGCGCAAAGTTGTACCTCCGCCTCAAAAGTTAATTCTAGTACCTTCAAGCTGCTTTAGAACGAATGCTGAAGGAGTCGGTCGGAAACAGTTGTTTTAAAGAATTGGACGTCGTCATCCATCTTTTTGTCCGTGAAATAAGTGTTTTACTATAAATTCTGTCCATCATTAAGTTTAGAAGAGATATCGTGTAGCCGGTAACTTCGGAACAGCTTCTATCATGCTGCTATGTCCATGATGGTAGAAACTCGTTCTGTGAGGGTGACAACATCACTACGAGATCAACCAAAACAAATCAATTTGAGTGGCACACATGCTTCTGAGGGAGCGCTATAGTGGAATTTAGTCGTGCGTATCTGATTGTGAAAGTGGCAAACCGTTGGATGTATCCGCTATTCATCACTCACAGTGAGCCTACTTACCATTATTACAAGGCAAAGTCAATGTTATGGGTGAACATTTGTTGGCGTTCGATCGTTATTTCGCACTGTTGCACTCTCTGTCTTGCTCCTAGTGTTTCATGCACATTACTATCTACCGCGTATTCATCTAGGTTGCTTACCTGAACATCATGAAAGCCCTATTTTTTACTAAACACTTCCGCTTCTATGCCCAACGTACCACATCCGGAGTGAATCCGCCACACCCGTCAGTCCACCGTGGGATGACAGCACTTGTCTATTCCTGTTTTCCAAATTGGCATCGGCCCAGGCAACGACCCTAGATGGATGCTACATTAGTGTGGCCTACTATGAAAATCGCACCGTTGAAATCATCATCGACGGTTGGTTTTTCACCCAACTTGCCCAGTACCATTTGCATTAGCGTTCGAGTTAGTTGGAATTAGTGAGGGTCGCAGTGCATTTTGTGTTTACCACTGTATGTAAGTGGCAAAATGTTGCCCAGCTACATGATGCAGACTGGCCAGTGAGGGTATAACCAAAGATTTTAGTTGAATTTTATCCCCTTGGCCGCACAATGAATGGGGCGGTCACCAAACAGGAGGGTTGCCCTCTGCTTCTCTTATCGGCCTAGCCTCTTAATCGGGGTATAAGCGTTTCCAGTGTAGCAACTAGCTGAAATTATGCCCATATTACAAAGCGCTATCTACATTTGTATGGGCTTACACAATTCTGTTCCGTTCCATCCCTCTGTGGCCATTATTGTAAGAGTCACTTTGATTCTTTGTTCTGTCTTGTTCTCTTTTAGAATGCCTACCATAGGGTTATTTGTCAGTTTGCTATAACTTTATTCACGGACCCACTTTTGACGGACTCCACGTTGGCTGACGACTGGCCGGAAGTGAACACGAATGAGGTGAAAAACTCATCTCGCTGGCGTCTATCCGTTCGTAAAAAAACCTATCGGAAGCTAACAGAAATGGAAACTGAAGAAAATGACATCACCTCGCACATTCCTCCACGAGTAGCAGTAAATTTCTTCGAAGAGATACTCCCCGCACAAAATTCCGTTAAGCAAAATGGAACGGACTACAGTGAGTCACGGACTGAAAATACAAACTTCTCTGTTGCGCGAGAGGCATGCATGCTGAAGGCCAACTTATGGCATGCTGTGTGGAGCCACACCAACACAACACAGCTCACCTCACTACCAAGGTGAGTACTGCGTGTTCCCATTTTCAGTTAGACTTGCTGCAGCACTCCGGCGTTTTGGTTGAGCTCACTTCTGTACAGTGATTACTGACGAGCACTTACGTGAAACTGTCCTGATCATGAGTTGACCTGAAAAGCCGTCCCTTACCATGTGCACTACACTCAACGTTCTATTCTGTTCGTTCTTATTTTTTTTTTGGAGAGTGAAGTAGACTCAACGTTCTATTCTGTTCGTTCTTTATGTTTTTTTGGAGGAGTGAAGTAGCCATGTGTAAGGGTGCATGGAATTTTCGGTTATCAACACTTGGTGTAGTAAATGTAGTCTATTCGGTGCAGCATGTTTTAGGCATGACCTCCATTTCCACTATCAGCAGTATATTGCTGACTACAGCCTGCGGGCATTTTGTGCAGTTGTTCGAGATCCTTGACTGGTTGTCAGTGTATGAGGGTAAAATGCAGTGGTCCCTTTTTATACGCCCATGTTTTGAGCATTTTAAAGATCCAATGATTTGGGACCAGTCGGGTAAGTCTTCCCATTATTTGCGCGCTTGTGTGAAGGGCCTGTCAATTAGCGAGCTGTGAACTTGGCGTTCACCAGTATGGGGAAGGTAAATCTGCGCTCCGGAAGTGAAGGCACAACCTCCCTATCGATGAAGTCACATGCTAAAGACAGTGGCTTGGACACAGGAGCACACTGGGATTGCAACCGTACCGTGTCCACTAATCGGTCCTTCAATAAAGAACATCTCCATGACAGCCCCCTCTGTCAGGCAGTAACAAGGGGTGTTTACCTGGTTATCTCCTGCATGGGGGGGGGCGAGATAGCTCAGTGATTAGGGTGCGAATTTACTGCCTGGAAGGTTCGCGGTTCGAACCCGGACTCTGCCTCGTACTTCCTTCTGGTTTCATGGCAGTTAGGCACCGAAATGGTGCTACCGCCGAACGACTTTGTTCCGTGGAGCTTAGTAAATAGCCGAACTGCTGAATTAGGAATAATGATTTGAGATCTGAGACTTTCAAAATCCTGATAACAAAGTGCTCAGGTTAATGTAGTAGTTTCTCAGAAACCCCTTTTTTTAGAAGATTGGTGCACTAATTTCATGACCGGTAGCGAACATTGTTGTGGATTCTCAATGCAATAGGTTCCCTTAGAGTAGGTTCAGCCATATTACAAGAGGGGTCCTTTACATATTTCGTATTATTTACGGGCCATCTGTATTCTCGTTCGTACATCGAGTTATGCATTTTTGCTTATGTATCTTCAAGTGGGTTCACAAACTTCAATTAATTCCTTTGCTGATTGAACTCTTCTGCCCCCTTGCTTAGCCTTTTTGCAGAGCGTATCCTCCCACGCCTGAAAAACGAGGCACAGCTGCTTATGTCTTTCTACTTGGTTTCTCCGCTGATGGGCACCCTGTATGCTGAACGTCACGCAGAACGCCACGCCAAACTGATTGATGTGAGTCTTGTTCTGTTTAGGATTTACGTTCCATCTCAATCGACAGCGTGAACGACATCAGTGGATTTCAGTACAGTACCACTTAGGACAGAAGCCACCCTGAAAATTGGGACTTTCGCCCTTTCCGGGAATCAATTCTCTCCAGAATTTGACGCTTAAGTTCCAATACTTATACACCCTGTCATACAAAAGCACGAAGTAATCATGGGTCCTCTCAGAAGTGCTTTCTCTCCGATTGAGTCTGTGTCCTGTGATAAATGTGGTGTAAATTATACAGTTCAGCTGATGCTTCAAGGCAAAATTCCTGACTTACAAATTGGCTTGAAAAGTGTATCATCTAGAAACCAACCCAGAGATCGTTGGCGCATAAGAACCAGCCTCTGTATTGGGTATAAGTGGTCCGGAAGTCACATTTCTAATACTTTGCAATGCGGGCCTTGATTACCTACCTGAGGTTTGGTCGCGTATCATGACAGAAGACAAAAACATGTGAAATCTATCTACCTTGTCTTCAAACACTTTGTCACTGCAGACTTTTTAACACAGTATTAGTCCGCAATGAAATGGTGCTTACGTGACGACCAGTTAGAACCACAGGAAGAGCAAACAACTGTCACAGTAAATTTCGGAGGTATTCAAAAGCTCTGTTTACCACAAAGAAAGCTCTATTAGTTTGATGTCGAATATTAGACAAGAGCGTTCCTGTAGGTTGTGTCGCGTGAGCCGATAAGAACTTAATCTATCGGTGTGTTCTTTCTCTCCGTATATATTTGTTTTGTTTGCCGCCAGAAATCTTGACAGTTTCTTGCAATCGAAAGTAATCTCTCTAAATTTTCATCCTTTAGATGAAAGGATGTTTTGATTTTGGTCGCATTGTAGCCTTTGCCTAGGTTTTCGGAGATTTTAGATACGGATTCACAATTTTTTAAGATATTGCCACCTGGAAGTGGTTCTTAAATATTCTTGGTGCCAACTGAAGACTGTGTGCTGTTTCACAGCCCTGTCAGAGCCACGGAAGGAGATAGTCCTTTGATCAGCCATTTGAGGGCGAGATGGCTCAAGTGGTTGGAGCACTTATTTGCTGACCGGAAGGTCCGTGATTTGAACCCAACCTCTGCCTTTCGACTTCCCCTGTCTAAGCTTGGGCAACCTGACAGTATCCCAGCCCTCGTGCTTCCTTCGGGTGGTATAGCAGCTAAGCACCGGGAGGGTGCTACAGCCGAACGATTGTTTCCTGTCGGCCTTGTTTGGCATACCCACTGTATCTTTGAATGCTTCTTCATATCAGCGTCAAAGTCCAACAATTTGGACTATGATGGAACCTGCAAATGTATTCTTCATAACCTCCACCCCATGCTTGTTCTGTGTGAATCTTGTATTCAACCACTACCGTGCTTATGCTGTTTTCTGGGTTGATCTGGCAAATTGACTTGACTCATATGAGGGTAGGGCATATTATTTATTACACCTCCTGTGAACAGGTCCACTTTATTGTTCGATTCACTTCGTCCGACAGGGTAGACTGACGATTAGTTTTGAGACTGATAGAATATATGGTTCAGTCTTTCATTGAAAGACCGCAGCAAATCAAAATTCTGTTGACGGGTTGCTTAGAAGAGGTCTTAAATCCCCCTTCTATAAGATCCTACTGGATAAGTAATGCGCCCATCACTAATGTGTGGTCTTTCAAGCCAATAAATATCAGAACTCACAAATTCAACTGTTATCCTTCTTCCAAGCTCCTCTGTTTGGAGTGTTTCTTTGAACAGGTTGAATTTGAGTAAGGACCAAACAACAAGATCATCTTTCATGAAGACCCTTTTTATATAAAAACTTGAGAGCTTTGAAAACATGATAGTTTCAGCCAGCTGTCATGCCCTTACGTGTTGTTTTTCGAAATGGCGACCCAGAAACATTCCGATATTCAATGTTTTGTTTGTATCCGATTTCCGACCTGTTCAAGTCAAGTTTGGTCCATTTGAATTCACTGGTGTGGCCAGATTGTGCACCAGTTGTGCTGGTGGCGATCTGCTTAGAGACAGTCCACTGATAAATCCACGTCAATAATAAGCTAATCAGATGCAAGTGATTAAATAGTAGGCTCCCCACATTATTCCAAGCACCCAGTCGTATGAAATCATTCATGGCGTGTTAACCGTCACATACTCAATATCTTTTTATCAGCCCAATTTCATTCGCCCTGCACGTCATGTTATACGTGAACATGGAAAAGCACACACTCCTTTTGATCATCGCTTCGTAAAGGCGCAATTTGGATAATTTGGTGTGGTATATGGTAACTAATCCGGCCTTGTTTTTATCTTGACATGTGGTAGCACTCCGGCAGGTGCTCGAGAATTAACTTCTTAATCAATGCAAACTTTAGCCTATCACTCTGAACAGTTCATCAACCTATTTCTTGTCTTGACCATCTAAGTGTCTTATTCTTGTTGTTTCAGCTCACTGCGGAACTGTATCGTGCAGTGCTTCAGGTAGATAGTCACCTAGCTGCAATACCTGACAGATCAACGCACCATCCTGGAGAGGAGGTCAAAACCAACACTGAAGCTGACGCAAGTCCTCCTAACAATACTGGTGTACCAATGGTTCATGCAGACGCGATTGCCGATTTGATGTACCACATCAAGTATATGTACGTTGGCAATGGTGTACTCGACCAGGTACGCCCTATTTTGCCCAATTTGAGGCCTTGTTTGAGAAAGCGTCTCAAATTCATTCTTCCTCCGTCTGAGTCGATGGTTGCGCAACAGCAGCAGTCCTCATCACAGCCTAGAAATGGCGTTCCCGGTGAAACCATTTATGAAGGGCGGGTATATAAAGCGTCTGCAAAACCGCCTTTGAGTGGAGAGGATTTCTGACTTAGGAAAATGAAGAATATTCTCCGATACGAGGAGTCTGTATATAGTTTTCTGGCAATATAACATTTTCGTACCATTTTTGTCCCTTGTCCAACTCTCGACTTTTTGGAATTGGATTCATTCGTGAAAGATCGATGCGTTATCTATTGTTTCCATTGACGATTCGTTTTTGGCGTTTGGTTTCTAACCACAGTACAGTCCCTTTGGCCCAGTTCTCTCACGTGCTTTACGGCGCACGAACTACTACTTGGTTGTTGAGGCTTAGACGTCAGGGGTGGATTCAAACCGGGGAACTCTTGTTTCAATAACTCGTGCCTGGATTCGATACTGATCTGGATCCCACAGGGCGGAAAAATTCGGGTGTTGCTCTGCCCGTTTTTGAGCTCAACTCCGATTGACGTTTTCATGGTCACGGCTGTACCTAGAATCCTGAGCACACCATATTTATCAACGCATGGCATTGGTCTTGAGTATGGCACCAGCCAGCCCGGTGACCTCATTCCGCTCACTCTATATTGGCATCATGGTCTCGCACGTGACACCACACCCTATGCAAGCCGGTTGTGGTTCACCATCTATGCGTAGGTGTATGGTCATTGTTAGCCGGTAAATCGTTTTGAACGCCAACCACCCAACGCCCCAATGGGATAACAGTTCTCTGGGATTTCACCACATTGCCTTCCATCCGCCGCAAATCAGTGCGCCGTCCATTCAGGTATCCCCTTTCCACGTCGTTATTACAATCATAACGCTGGTATCATTAACTATGCTCCTATGGATAACATTTGTCTTGTTCGCAACAAGCAATCGGATACTGAATCGTCTATCCATTCACAGGAGGCTGATAAAATCAAACTCAGATCTCATTAGTCATATCCATTCAGCTGTCAACCAACTTCTTTTGGTCTTGCTCTTTTCCATGTCATGCCCTCAAGCAGCCTGTTTTATACTATCATTAACAAATCCAAATGGTCATTGAACTTCCAGCTCATGAAACGAATTTAACGTGCACAGGACGCCTCAACTAGTCCAGTTGCTGACAATACTTATTTTCATTCTGTATCGATTAAGTCAATCTTCCGAAATTGTACCCGTGTTGTTCATTCATTATTTCTATGCACACAGAAACGGACTGAACGTCCCTGATCTGAACACATACTTGATCGAATTGATTCCTAATCTGGTTCAAGTCATTGATTCACAGTGTACCTTTTCGACCTTGCCACGCCATACAGTCCGTACACTTAAAAAATGATACCTGATAAATGGGGGTTTATGTTTCTCATGTGCTTTGACCCACCGTTTCAACCCAGGTTATTTTGCGAATCCGCCACCTGCTACTTAGCTGGAATTTTCCAACTATAATCCTAACAACTGATACGACGAGAATAGATGCAGTAACCTGGGTTAAGAAGGTCGACATAAGCTTCGTTTCCGAAGGGCTTGGTGAACAATCGGTAATTCTTCATTTGAGCAATATTTTGCTTTTGACACAACACTGATCTGGTGCGCTAATATGAAGACATCTTACTGATTGGTTCTCCGTCTTGCCTTAAAACCTGGCCAACTTGGTGACCTGCTGACTTGGTTTGAAGAAGCTTTTATGTCAAAAGCGTAAGGTTGCCCAAACAAAAAAAACACCGATTGTTTACCAAACCCTTTTGAAACGATGATTTCTCAATTGTTTCCAAACCTTTCTCAATCGACTGAAGCTGTTGGTGGACATATTTTGGTGTGCTTCAAGACTCACACTTCAAAAGTATGGCTGATGTGAAAAAGTTATAGGCCTTCGGAGAACTAGCCATATAGGGTAGACGAGTAGACACATTCCGATCGCCGAAAAAGCCTGTAATCCACTTTCTTGCGCATTGCCATGGCAAATAGCCGTGTGCAATTCTGACGAATAATTTACCTTGTTCGAAACTTAATACGCAATTAACTTTCGTTAACTCTGGGTAGTCAACCGCTGCACTTAATTTCTTCAATATTTTGAACTGTCCTCACTATAATTGGATTTTCCCTGTGTATTCGAAATCTGCCTAAAATATGCGGTTTGGTTGAAGCAGCTGATAAGAGTTGAAGTTCTCTCAGTATCCTATCTACAACATGTTGGTCGGGCCCCACCTGTTACCGTTACTTGTTTCCCCAATTTTACTGTCGATTTCGACCATACGTCCCTAAAATCGCAAGAAAGATTAATATCTCATTTTTAGCGAATTCCTAATTTATCCCCAATGTTTTCCTTTGAACAATAGCTATTTCCGTTTCCACACCCTCTATTTATACGGCTTCTTGGCTATGCTCACGTGATTTGAGGTTTTTTAAAAGCGTTCTTATGCATTGATTATGATAACGGAAGCTAGTTGAGCCGGATTTCGTGTGCTCACATTATTCTGCCGAAATATCTGCTTCGGGTCCGTTAAAATAAAACAAAAATGAGGGATTACATCACAATCTCCCCACAGACATTATCAAATAAAGGGATTCATGTAAATTGTATACCAGTTACGCTTCACCGGAGACGAATCAAACTGTTTACGGAATCCGAGTACAAAACATCTAAACATGCGCCTAATCCTACAAAACATTCACGGTGCTCCTGACTTAGTCGATTCGTTAAACAAAATTATTTACACAAGCGGCGGATAGCACCTGTATAGTTTGTGCAAGTACCTGTCTTTCCATTTCAATGTGTTCCATTATGTTGCACTTACGTATGGCGGATTGTTCGTAGCCGCCCCATTAACTGATAGAATATATGCTTTCTCTTGATTAGAATGTACATCAAGTCTTGGTTGCAAGTCCAGGTATCATCCAATTCTTCACCAAGGCAGCTACTTTCCAACACCTGGAGATATAATGTTAACTACCCCTATTGATCAGTTCCTTTACTGTTACTACCACAGCTGTTCTTATTACCATGTGTAGTTCTGTATAGGTGTTCTAGATGTCTGAGCCTGTCAGGTACATTAAGGACACATCGGTTTATTCTCCCTGGGCTGACAACTTCCCTAGGTTTGCTCGGCTTTCAACTCTTAGTAATAGGCATGCATAAAGCCTACACTACAATCTCTCGGCAGATCGGCAAGAGAAACGAGATAGCTCCACCAAAGGTATTATCCGCTTCCGGAGCACATTCACAAGACAGGGACATGTGAAAAGGATGCCAACAGGGATCTGATAACACTTGTCGAATAAACCTGCGTCATTAGATGAGTCACATGTTGGCCAATGGTCTCTGTGTCACTATTTTCCAAAAAGTAACGTTTACCCTTAAAACCGTGTGTAGTAGTGGATGTAGTAGTGGATGTATTCCGTCCGTTCAGCTAGAACTGATTTTCAGCGCCTTCTGGCAGTTGGAAGCTGATAAGACTGTTCCACCCAGAAACCGAAATAAATCATCCGAAGCACAGTGCGGCTGTGTCGGTTTTTGAACCTTCGACGCAAATGATCACACGTCGCATGCTAATACTCCCCCTTCCTGGTGGGGGGGGGTCAATTTATCTCCAGGATCCAGTCGATACCATGCACATGCGTTACTAAAACGTTGACCCACCATAACCCTCTGTTTCCCTATTCACTAGCGGCCGTTTCCTATAGATATGCGGTGCCATACCAGCACCCAAGCAGACCGATCATCGAACCAAGTTAATTGGCTAATTTCACACTCTCTAAGGTGACTAGTAGACTGTTCGGTTTCATTATTTGTGGGTCGTGATGTAATCAGCGTGATCCTCCACGTCAACGCTGGTGCTCCAGTGTGACTCAGAGGCACTAATCTTGTGTCATTATTCACCGGGCCAATGCTACCAACACGAAGGGTCCGCGAATCTGCTTGCAGCGAAGATCGGAACAGCGCTGCTTCTGAGCAACGCAGTCCGTGAATATTATTTTCGTTGTAAGCTTGGAAATAGTCTAGGCTATAGAAAGATAGATAATACAGCACATAAAACAGAAAAATAGCAATCTAATAAAATGTGCATTCAGCCATTTGCAACTACCGGTTTTTCTAGTGCTCAGTAAAATAAATCTGTCTTGTAAGTTCGAAGGGTTTCTGTTATCCTCTTACTTATTTTCCGATCGACTTTCTCCCAGTGGAGGATGATTTTTCAAGAAAATCCCGAAGTCCTGCTGCCCGTGATCAGCAGCAAGGCCCGAGCACAAAGTCACACATACTTTGTTCCATTTCTCGATTCCGTAGACCACATGGAGACTCAGTGCTTCAGGGTCAACCCTGAATATTGATAGCCAAGTTTTCAGCTGTCCTCCAGTCTGGAGACGCCATTCCGAGCACGTTAATGGAGATTTCGAAGAAACCGGAATCTTCTTTGCAGATGGAGTCTCCACACCAGTGTGGTCGGACCGCCTGGAGTAAATTGGAAAGGCATAGAATATTGTGGCAATTTTACTTGAAACCGTCATCAGATACGTGTTTACAGTAATCGCTGTACGCACCAGTAGTCAAATACGTCGGGCTCGTGAAGAATTTCTCCTCAGGGAGGTCAGGTCTCGTGTAGACGTGGGTAGATGTCGGACGACCGGATTGTATTTGCGGAGCCTCTTTCGAAAGCTGTGTTCTGAGTATGCCCATAGACCCAAGTGGAACTTCATGAAAGTCCTCCTAGCGGGATCGCCTATTTTTACCGCGCTCAGTCATTCGGAAAGGTGTCATAACTCGAATACTTGAAAAAATCGGCTTGATTTACAGACCTTCCGTTGACGATAAGTAGCTCGGATTCAGCGTCCGTGCGTGAGATGAAGGATTTAAGCGTTTCAGTATTTATTTCCAGTTCTACTGGCGAATCGTCGTGACCGATGTGATCAAAAGTTCGACCTTTGCTCGAGTCGACAATGTCATGGTCAATTTTCATCAAACACTTGGTACGCCTAGAAAGTCGCTGATGGTATGTAACAAACATTTTCCGAATTGAAAACTCATGGATTTTTTTCGATTACCGGAGTTTAAATCAAAGACTGTCGTCTGCTCCGCAGACTCTGACGCGAGTTTCTTTGCTTTGATAGTAGACTCTAATGAGATTCACTATCTTGTCTTGCAAGCCATCGGTTTTTAAGTCATCATCATCATCAAAGACAGCAACATCACTGTTGCCGCTAATGCTTCACTGCCGTACAACCATAAAGTTTGTCTAGTTATATATATATA